TAGACCAAAATCAACTCAACATGGATCAAACCTAAATGTTAAACCTGAAATTATGAAATTACTACAGGAAAACTTTAAGACATTGGGGTAGTAGATGATCTGTTTAGATAGAACCCCAAAGACAAAGGCAACAAAAGTAAAAACAGAAAAATTGAGTTTTAACAAACTAAGACCATGAAAGGCCTTCTCCCCTGACATTCAATGGCTTGTTCTGGGATATCTCCTGAATGATCTGCCTGAGGCTTTTTTACAGTTATCACTTTTTAAATAAGAAATGCACTCTAAAATAACAATAAAAAGTATAATTTTTATCCCACAAATATTAATAGTCACTTATTGTTAAGTAGTAGGTACCTTACACAATTGTATGTGCTCTACTGCTATACTTTTATACCACTAACAGCAAAGTAGGTTTGTTTACAATGGCATCACCAGAAACATGTGAGTAATGCACTATGCTACCACATTACCATTGCTACACTATCACTAGGTTATAGGAACTTTCAGCTCCAGTATAATCTTATGGCACCAGCACCCATTATAAAGTCTTTCATTGACTGACTGGTCCTATGAAGTGCATAACTGTATTTAAGTGAATACATATTGCAACGGTACTTTAGTAGAGTTTCTAAATACAGTGTCCATCACTGAGCCTATTAAATCGCAGTGAGCAATTTAATTAAAAAAAGACTTAAGATTTGATATAAACAAATGAAGGACATAAAAAATTACAAGAACTTATTAGCTTGCTAGATTTTATAAGTTCTGTAATTGGTAATTATTTATTTTACTTCAATAATATATAAAATTTCATGTAAATACTCATTTAATTTTTCTCTCTCTGTATATAGATCTTTCTCTAGAGAAACATCTTTATGACAGAAGACAGAATTGAAGTTTCTATTATAATTATTTGTATCAAACTTTTTTATCTAGTGCAATTTGCCCTATATATTCATTTATTATGTAGATTCGTTTATGTTGGATAATCGCTAGTCATCACCATGCTAAATTGTGCTTTTCTCATTATTTAATATGCCTTTTAATGCTGATACATCCTGTTAATTTTGCCATGCATTTCACCTTTCATTAATATTATCACTGTTTTTTAACTTTTCTATTTTTGGAAATATATTTGATTAGTAACTACAGAACCTAGACATCCTGAATCAAGTGTTCTTTGGGCTATGTCCTCCTCAAGGCCTCTAGGAAATGATGCTTCCTTGCCTGTCCTACTGTCTTGCTTCTGTCAATCCTTGGAGTTCTTGACTCCTGCAGCATGACTCAGTTTTCCACCTCTGTAATCTCATAAACTTCACCATTGCCTGTGTATCTTCAAATATCTCCTTATGAGGATACCAATCATTGGATTTGAGCCAGACTTTAATCCCATATTACCTTGTTTTAACATGATTACATCTGCAAACCCTATTTTCAAAAAGGTTATATTCACAAGAATGGGGAACACAATGCTACCTATAGCATCATAACAATAGCATGCTCTCAGTAACGCAGAAAAATGATGCCAGGCAGAAGTGGTAAGCACCAACTCCAGGCTTCCTCCTAAAGACTGAAGTGATCTTTAACGCTCACCATTTTAAGCTGGCTGATGTAGAGAATCCAATAAAGAATTCTAAGGCCCTATGTAAAACAGAATGTTCATGATAACAAGGAGAAAAATGAATTTTTTAATATTTTTTAATATTTTTTAATAACTGAATTTGTGATAAAAATATGTAATGTTTAGAAGGCTGTTTATTAAAATTTTAGTATATAATTGAATTTTAACATTTAGATTGATATTTACCTTGGTTTTTATAGATACATTAGTCAGCTTTCCTGTCACGGGGACAAAATATTGACACATACAAAACGGTTTAATTAAGTTCATGCTTTCAGGAGATTCAGTCTACGGTTGGCTGGCTCCAAGGAGAAACCTCATGGCAGATGTGGACGGTGGAACAAAGCTGCTTAGTTCATGACAGCCAGGAAACAGCATAGGAACAATGCCAGAACAGAAAGGGTGAGAGACCGGACATCAACCCCAAGGCCATGCCTCCACACCCATGCAGATGCCCCTAGAAGTGTGCTCTACCAGTCTCCAGGGTGGATCCCAAAGCCAATCAAATTGAAACTCCACCCTCGCCAGCATACAACACACACATGTACAAATACACATTTCCACACACAAATGTGTGTCTTTTTACTTTTGCATGTATTATAAAACCTTTCAATAACCATATAGAATTCTGTAAGAGTTATGAATGTACTTAAACATTTTAATTACAATTAGAAACAGGATGATTACTTATAAAACATTTTAGAAAAGAAAAGCAAACACTACTCAATAATATCTATTCTTTTATATACATATATAGTAGAAAAAAGATTGAGAATAATATATTTTAGTTGTTCCTTATCTCTTGATGATTAGATTTGTTGATAGTTTTCTTACATTTGTCCTTAATTTTCAAATTGTATACAATGAATGGATATTGAGATTACAAGCAGAAATGCTTTAAAAATTGTTGAATCTGCATTTAAGTTATGACTTACTAGTAGAAGAACAATTTTTTCAAACTTCTAAGCTTAGATAAAATGAAAGTTTATTAAAAACTATTCTGATTCAATAAGGTCTTTTTACTTTCTGAATATAAAAGGTTTTAATTCCCATTTTAAGAAAAGATAATATTTTCTTAGAGATTGCATTATAGCTTTAATTAATTATAATTCAAATTTCAGATATTTGTAAGTCAAGTAGTAATGTAACTCATTTTGGATGAACTCAGCTAAAAGATAGAATATAGAGAATCAAAAGGAGAAATACATATTTTTTATAACAGAAACTAAATATACGTGGTGCTGTGGTCTTAATGAAGTATCTAGAAATGTTTTACATATAAACTTTAATAATTTTTGTTGTTTAAAAGTTTGTAGAAATAATAGCAACAAAGATCTGAGGCATTTTGTATCTCCACTCCACTTTCCATTTTGCACTAACTTCTCTAAATTTTTGTTGGGTATGAATATGTCATGATGAAATAAATAGAACCTTCCCACTGTCATTTGAAAGAAATGAACATCTACTGTTACCACACTAGAAGATATTTTAAAACGCTCTCTTCAAATGTCATTGTAAGTGGTGCAAAAATGTTTTCTTTCTGCCTCTGCAGTATCCTCTGTTTTTACTAAGTACAGAACTTAATGTGGTTGGATATTTCTGTATATGTTAATAATATTTTCTAGACTTGGCCATTAGCATATCTGTACTGAAAACTTCAACTTTTATTTATAATCCATACATCAATCTGACTCATTTCCTTTATTTTTTTTGGCTATACAGAAAAAGTAAAAGCACCCTCATTTACAAATGTATTAGTTTCTAAAACCTTGTGCCTAAGTTCTTTTGTTGAAGAGACCAAAGTTACAAAGAAGATTTTAAGCTTAGCACTAACCAAATTGGCGTCAAATAATAGAATGAGTATGTACAGTAATTCCAAATCTTCCAAACGGCATATATCCCACTTCTCCTTCATGATAAACTTTCTATTGGGTATACCTGTAGTTTTATTTTTCTAAATAAGTCAATTCCCTGGTACTCTAAAAGTCTATAGATACAGATACCTTGCTCCTGCATGATCCTAATGGTGTATAACATTAATTCCTGGGAATCTGATTTCCTTGAATCCATATTGAAACTTCACCTCCAAAACTTCCCACACCTTACAAATAATCATTTTGTTAACAGTATTTTAACCATGATCAACTTTTCATCTGGAACTCTTTTTACTTTGAATTAGAACAAATCTAATGGGAATTTGCATTCCTGTTGATAGAGACACTTCAAATATTTTCCAGTTCATAAATTTCCCACCACACTGGCTGGTTCCTCTGGATTGTATCCTCACTGATTTTTGCACACATTTCATTTTTTATCTTCAAAATCATGATTAATATCCAGGTATTTATCAGATAGTAATCATCATGTTCTCTTTAGTGTTTTCATCAGTTTTAGTTTCTCTTCTTTAACATTTACATGCCTCTGCTTCTGAGTCATTTTGAAATCGTCACTTCTTTCATTCTTACTGAATACAATGGAATCCAAAAAATCAGTTTTAAAAGGAATTCTTCAAACTCAGCATAAGTTCAGTAAGCAGGTTATAGGCTAAGAAAATAATCAAATGTGAAAACCAAAGTGAAAACTAAGAGCATTGTGGTGTTACTGAATTTTCACTCTGAAGTGTGACTTTGTTACTGTAAAAACCAGGGGCTTAGTTGAAAATTCATATATGGAAGACCGTCTGCATGTGTGTCTGCTTCTTCTCCCTCCTCTGCCCACGTGTACTGTGTAAAGTTGTGCTGTCCTTGAACTTTTAAGACACCTTTGAAAGACATCTGGAAAACCACTAGTTGCAATTTTTTCCCTGTGTCCTTCAGATTAGTAACTCTTAATGCACTAAGCAATGATCAGCAAACATTCTCATTAAAAGACTAGGGAATTAACAAATTAAGCTTGGGGGCGATAAATTCTCTATGACAAATATGCTACTCCCTGATAGCTCTAAAGCAGCCATGATAATGTATAAATAAGTATGTATGGTTCTATTCCAATAAAAATTCATTTATGGACACTGACATTTGAGTAATATATAAATTTCACATGCCATGAAATATGACTATCTTTGAAAATTTTTTCAGCCAGTTAATAAAGCAGGTACCATTCTTAGATTATAGGCCCTCAATCATTTGATGGGCTAGAATCAGCCTGGGTGTGGTGGCTTACTGAACCTTGTGCTGAACTGTCCTTTCTCCTAAAGGAATTGAATCTCAGGGTCTACAACTCTCTGTCTTCAGTTAGAAATATCTCTCAGAGCATGTAGGACTGAATTGCTACTAACTGAATCATTCCATTTAATATCCATTCTGCAATCCCCAACAATCATTCAGAGTTCTACATAAATCAGAACTTTGGGAAACTTACAAAGGAATTCTAAAGAGTGTTGTATTACATCTGGCCATCCTGTGAAGCTGCTGGTCAGCAGATGACATTAAGATAACCTTCCTAAAACATGAGAGCATAAAAAAAGATGATGATCAGGAAATGTAATCAGTCTCTACATCTCTACAATCCACTGGGTTTGTGAAGCAGAGAGAGAGACAGAGAGAGACAGAGACAGAGAGAGACTAACCCAGGTATTTTCCTCATTTTATTACTTTTGATAATATTTGCTGCTTAATAGTCCCCTGTTCTCAGTGTAAAGATTGCATTTGTAATATATGTCTGAAGGAAATTAAAATGGGAAGTACCAAGCCCAAATATGGTGAAAGTTATTGCAGGATGAGCTGATTCTGACCAGAGCCCAACCAGGTACGGGAAGCTCCTGTTTCTGACAGCCTGCATCTGTGGCTGTTATAAAAGAACGGAGCTCCTCAAAGCACAGATATATGCAGGACATTTTTACACAGTCTTATACCAAGACCATATTTTTCTCTGACACAAGGAAACGCATGGGAGATTGTTTCTGCCTCAGACTGCTGAGAGTGGCTTCCGGAAAAAGTCAGAAGTGGCTCAGTGATGACAGAATCCAAGTTTCAGATCAAAAAGCCTCCCTGACAAAGGGTGGTATCCTTTCTTCTACTGCAAATCCTTAGGGACACAAGGAAGATATATTTTAACTCCTTAATACTTCTGAAAACAAAGCAGGATTATACTGAAGATGGAAATCATATTGTCAAACAAAAAGAGGAGAACCTTACTTCAATATGTGGCAAGAGCCTTCAAGTGTGCTTTTCATCCCGGCAGCCTGACGCTAGTGGGGCCCTAGGGAAACAGATCAAGTCAATTCTGGGAATACTGTAGTGGGGCAGCATCTCTAGGTTCTCCCTAGGATTGGCATAAAGCAGCAGATGAGTTACTTTTCAGGTCACAGGAGGGAGTAGGGCCTCTGCTCAGAGGAGCAGGACAGCTTCTGGAGAAGCTGATGATATTAAGAAATGAAGACCATCCATACCAAGAAGACTGGGCTTCGGGTGACATTTCATTTTTCCTCTCTTAACTTTTCTTTTTTATTCAGTTCAGTGACACTGTTCAATGCTATCGCTTTCCTCAAATGCCAGATGATTTTTAGCTGTCTTTATTTGCAATTCACTGCTACTCTACCTGTGACATTTGCTGAGAGTGGGGGGTTAGTGATTGTCTCCAGAGGAGCACCCCTAGGGACCAAAACTGGAGAATTAAAAGGCCAGTGGTGAGTGCAGAGGACTCAATATTTGTCTCCCGAGAAAGCAGCTTAGTAATTTAGCTTCTTTTTATCATAATCGTAAACTGGTATATGTTGCAGCAAAGAACTAAAGGAGAGTTAGAAATCAGTAGCCATAATTTTAGGAATAGATAAGAGACCCCAAAGGAGAGTTCAGCTTGAATTTCAAGGAATGCTCTTTAGGACATCATAGCAACTATACAATGCTGTAATAATAACTGATGATCTTGGCCTGGAATACCCAGGGCAGACAACTACCAATTTGTACTCCTGATCTATGCTGTTTTGGGAAGAAAAAAATAGATGCAGTATTTCACTCAAAGGAATGGATAAAGTAATTGGCTTTATTATTTCCCACAAGCTAGGTTCACCTCCACACTCCAGTGTGAAGCGAATTGAAAGACACGAATATTAAATCAGCTATATATTTTTTCTTTTGTCAGTTCTTAACCTTCAAAAAATACACTAAAGTTTCAGCTGCTCACTTCTTCCAAATAATTTAATTTAGGGAAACCAGAACAGGTCAAAGATCAAAAATGAAAGTTGCAGAAGATATAGATTATTTTTGCCTGGATAAAAAATGTATGAACCACGACACATAATGTTTTAAAAACTGTCAAGGAGTTACCTCCAGACATGGCAGGGTGAACCATGGCAGCACAACAGTGCACCAGGAGACCTGTGGACCAGGAGCCAGACCAGACGCCGGCTGTGGTAGTTTGGAGTGGGAGGGCTGGCTGTGGCTGCCTCTGATGGGAAGACAGCCAGTAGGGCAGATGGAAACGGGCTTCCACAAGTAAAATGTTATTAGACAATTGGTGGGAGGCCAGGCAGGCAGTTGGCCTCAGAGAAGTCTAAGCAGGTGGGCAGATGGATCACACTAGAAGCAGCAACATTTAGAGACGCAGTAGGCAGGGAGTGCTAGGGGCATTTGTGAGTGGACCTGATACCTCATGTGGGCACTGAGGCTGGGTCAGGATTAAGACTCCACGTCTTTGTAGGTTGTTTAGGAGACAACCAGCATCCTGGGCCCGAGAGGGTTGAGCAGAATGCTAAGTAGATGTTTTGTCATTTTGCATTTTAAAAAGAGACTGTGGATACCTAAGAATCAATAGATAGTCTGGATGGACTCTCTAACAAATAGCTACATATTTTAAAATCTTTTTCATGAACAAATAATTACACATATGTATATAGTTTGATACAGGTATATACTGTATAATGGTCAAATCAGGTTAATTAGCCCTTCCATCTCTTTAAACATTTACCATTTGTTATGGCATACCCCTAGATGTGTCACCAAAGCCTCATGCACCCACAGGAGGGGCTTTTGGGAAGTGACTGGATCATGAGGATGTGATAATCATTAATGGATTATTCTACCGATGAGTTTGTACCTATATGTGATGTTGGGAGCTAAGCCTGGTTGGAAGAGGTGGGTCACTGGAGTCGTTGTCTGGAAGAATATTTTTCCTTCTTCTCCCTTGAGTGCTCTCAGTTTCCTGCTGTCATGCCATAAGCAGCTCTCCTCTGCCATGCCCTTGCCATGCTACCCTGCTGTGGAGCCAGCTGACTGGACTGAAACCTCTATAAACTGTGAGATGAAATAAACCTCTTCTTCAATTTGTGGGTGTTGGTTATATTGTCTTAGCAAAGAGAAAAGTACCTACGACATCATTATTTTGTGTTGGGAGCCTTTGAACTTTTCTTTTTCTTTATAAACTATATAATAAGTTGCTGTAAACAATAATCACCCTACTGTATTGTAGAATGCTAGGAAGTAGATAAGGTTTAGTTTTCTTCTTTATTTCCTTCTCATAAAGTTTTTAAAGTTTCAGTAATGCACTGCAATGTAGACTTTCATGTAATCTCTGTATTTTAGACTAATGAGGGCTGAGATGTTCAGAACACATACATACACACACACATGCACACACAATAATTTAAGGCATACATTTTTCTCTCTTAACATCATGTCCTAAGCATTTTCTCAATCATTAAATATATTTTAACTGCATTATTTTATTGTAGCAGAACAAAACATCATGTGGAAACATGGTTATTTATATTACAATTCTTGCTCTCTTTGCCCATTTTTCAAGAGTTGCTGTAACAGCAATGCAGTGTTATTGCATCTTTGGTATAAGTCTGACCATATTTCCAAGTCCTAGCATGGAGGCTACTGAATCTTGAATATTCAATATTAAAAATATTGCTCCATATTAATATTATTATATATTATCTGTTTGCTTTCCAAAAGGTTAAACCATTGGTACTCCTCAGCTAGAGAATGCTGGCTCCTAAATGGCAGCAATCTGCCATTATGGTTTAGAGGAAGAGGGAACTTGAGTTGGTCAGCAATGACCAGGTGGATTATTTAGGATAAAATTATTTCAGGCATGAGTTAGAGACACTGGACCAAGATTCCAGCTGGGGGCTTGCAAAGGAAGTCCCTGTTTCCACAGACCAGCTCTCTCAGAGGAGGCAGGAGCAGAAAAAGGGCAAGAACATCTTAAAAGGGCTCTATTTTAGTAGAATTTTGAACTTTTCATTGCTAGTAATCTAAATTTTAGCAATCTACATTTCCAGTGTTAGTAATACAAATATACACATTTCTAATACAAAGTTCCTTATGAAACTCTGTAGCAACTGTTCCCGTTGACACATGGCCAATGGAGAAAACAGGGGTTCTCATATAGCACCTGGGAAGAAAGTTTTCTTCACATCAGGTGAAGACAAAAGAAATCTGGAAACCCATGTGTACAGAGAGGTCCCCAGCACAGACCCTTTATTCCCAGTGCTGCCTCCATCCCTGGCTGTCTCCCTTCTATCGGCATGGCCTTGAATAAATCACTCCTCTCTCAGACACGGATTTCTCTCATAACAATAGTTTCTTAATATGGTGATACATGGGATGAGTTTTTAATATCAGACACAGATTTATTTTTACACTATTAATAATTCCATAATATGGTACACATAAAAAAACCTGTGTTCCATAGATGTTATGTTAATGTATATCAAGATGTCTTCCACTATTATTTCTCTTTTAATAATTACCTAGCCTTGACCCGCATGGTCAGTTCAACTGAAGCAGAGGTAGGTTCCGTTTAGCCATGTGTTGTCTTATGAGTTATGAACAGCAGGCTCGGTGCAAGTAGCTTTCTTGCTTCTCTGACTCAGGCCTGCTTAGGGAGTTCTGTTCAGGTCATTTATGACATGGGTCTCCTTGGGGCCTCACAGGCCCAGGTAAGATCCAGTTCATCTCAGTGTCAAGTGAATTAACACACAGCTGAGGACAAGCTAGCAACTTCCAATGCTCCCAGGGACAAGCAAGGGCACAAACATGAGTTCTGAGCAGGATGTAAAGCAGAAAGTTAGCAGTGGCTCCTATTGACTATAAAACCCATTTCAATTAAAACACAGTTTCAGCCAAAGGATATACATCAGCAGGCAGATTTGGCCCAGGGATGTCACGCATTTGTAAAGCCTGCATGTGTTGGGCAGTTTTGTTCTCGTCTTGTCCTTTAATTTGAAGCATTTCATACCCTCAAGGACTCAGCCATCACAGGAAAGTTTATTTAAATGGTTTCCTTTAACTCTGTTTACCACGTAGGAATTGCTTTTAATTTTTGAGACAACAACACAAGTAGACACAGGCACACTTCAAACCAGAATACATCTGCTAATGAGGGTTAGGAATTACTGAAGAGTCTTGTGCGCATAATCTTCTTCAAGCCTCATGACCACTTATGGATGATTATTATATTTACTGGGAAGAAAACTGTGTTGCATAAATATAAAGGCCATCCATCTAACCAGTGATCATGAAAGGTTTTAAATTCAGGACTCCTAACGTGAAGGTTTCTGCTTTTTCTAAATTATCATGCCATAAATCACCCAATCACCTATGTGATTACCCAGGGGATTCTT